TACAATTAAACAAAGAAAACTTCTCAATGTCTGGCATCCAATCAAAAATTACCTTGCATGTAAAATAGGAAAATACCACTCACAACAAGGAGAAAAGCCAATCAATGAAACTGCCTCAGATGATAAAATTAGTAGAAAATGACATTAAAACCATTATTACAACATATTCTCTATGTTCAAGAAGCTAAAGGACAGAATGAGAGTAAGTACTGAACATGATATATGTATATGCAAATTGAACTTCTAGAAATGAAGTTACAATGTCTGAAAGGAAAATATAATGGATGGGATTAAGAGATTAAATATTGCAGAAAAGATTAGTGAATTTAAAGATATGACAATAACACACAGGAAGAAAAAAGATTGGCAAAAATTAACAGGGCATCAATTAGCTGTGGGGTAAATTCAAGTGGCCTGGTATATGTGTGTTGGAGTCACCAGAGGAGAAGACAGGGAGGGGCAGAAAATATATTTGAAGAAATAATGGCTGAAAAAACAATCCAAATCTGATAAACACTATAAATTCACAGACCAAAGAAGTTTAATGGAACATGAGGACAAGAACCATGAAGAAAACCACACCAAGGCACATCATAGCTGAAATCCATAAACTGGGAATAAAGATAAAATCTTTTAAAAAGGCAGATATTTAAAAAAAAAAACAACAAAACACTGTGTACAAAGGAATGAAGAATGGCCATCAGAACATATAAGCCAGAAAACATTGTGTTAGAAGAAGAAAAAAACTGTTCACTTAGAAATCTAAACTTAAGACAAATACCATTTAAAAACAGAAATGAAGCACCTGGGTGGCTCAGATGGTTAAGCGTCTGCCTTCGGCTCAGGTCACGATCCCGGGGTCCTGGGATTGAGTCCCGCATCGGGCTCCCTGCTCCTTGGGAGCCTGCTTCTCCCTCTGCTTCTCTCTCTCTCTCTCTCTCTGTCTCTGTCTCTCATGAATAAATAAATAAAATCTTAAAAAAAAAAACAGAAATGAAATAAAGTCTTTTTTAGATATATGAGAGCAGAAAGAATTCATCCCCAGCAGACCTGCCCTTCGAGATCTGCTAAGGGAATTACTTCCGGCAAAAAGGAAATGATACCACATGGAATTTGAATCTATGTAAGGGACGGAGGCATCCTAGACATGGTAAGTATGTGGGTAAATATAAAATACTTGTTTAAATCTATTTAGAAGAGAATTTTCTGGAAAATATGGTATATATATATACATATATATATATGGAAATATGGTATATATGTAGGGGAATATTATTCATCCTTGAAAAGGAAGGAAATTCTGAGAGGCTACAACACAGATGAACCCTAAGAACATTATGCTAAGGGAAATTAGCCAGTCACAAAAAAGAACAGATACTGTATGAGTCCATTCATATTGAGGTGCCTAGAGTTTCAAAATCACAGGCAAAGAAAATAGGATGGTGGTTGCAAGAGCTTGGATGAGGAGGGAGCAGGGATTTGGTGTTTAATGGAGACAGTTGCAGGTTGCAAAATGAAAAGAGTTCTGAAGATGGGTGGTTACACAACAAAGTGAATGTATTCAATGTCACTGAAATGCACACACAAAGATGGTTGAGATGGTAAATTTCATGTTATGCATATTTTACCACAATTTTATAAAGAGAATTGGCTGTTTAAAACAAAAATAACAACAGAGTATGTGAGGTGTACCACACATGTAGAAGTAGGACTTCCACAGCATGGTTAATGGGGAGGATGGAGGTAAAGTGTTGTGAGGTTCTTATACTCTTCATAAAATGGCATGGCACATACAGGTGGACCATGTGACAAGTTAAAAACCTATACCATAAACCCTAAAACAACCACTAAAATAACCTTACAAGAAGTTATTCCCAACCAGCAACAAAGAAGATAAAATGGAATCATAGAAAATGTCTCTGTCCACTAAAAAGGCCAAAAGTAATGACATCCCAGTAGCAGCAAGCAGAGGTATACACCTGTACCAAAAATTATCATGTGTATACTTCAAATATGTGCAACTATGTCAATTACACTTCAATGAAGCCGTTTAAAATCAAAGCAGAATAAGCTGTCTGGACAGGTACAAAGTTCTATGGTAGTCATCACATCTTTCCAAATACAACCTCTTCTCTTTTCTTTCTGGGACATAACAATATTGCACTCTCTGTTCTCTTTGAAATCAGGTGTGGGCACGTGACTTGCTTTGGCCCATAAAACATAAACAGAAGTGATTCTACCCACCCTTGATGGGATCATCCTGAGCTAATGCACCATTAGTGTTGGTTTCTTCTCCTGCCCAAGTGATGGTGGGAGTGTGTGTTTCCATGAGATTTGGGTCAGCCTGCGTCTATGAGTGCTCACATGGAGCCAGCATGAGTGGAGCAGGTGGTCTGAGTGAGAGATGAACTTCTTGTGTTAGTCACGGGCATGTTGGGAGATCTTTGTTACTGCAGCTAATTTAACCCCTCCTGACCAAATATTCCCTAATAACAGATGTGTCCAGTTACAGAGGTGGTAGTTTTGGATGGCCCTGGAAAGCAAACTGGTCCAGTGGCCTCTGAGGTCTCTTCCAACTGAAGAGTTACGTGTCACAGGTGTCACCAGCTTGGGTGTTTAACTGACGTCACCTTTTCAAGCCTCTACCTACCTGGGAAGAACTTGGCTCCTTCATTAAGTAACACCCAGATATTTCTGAGTCCTCGAGGACTCAGACACAGTAGGCTTAATGTTCTTCAACTCTAGCCACCTAGTAAAGTCACCATGCCTCACAGACCGTGACCAGTGCTCTCCACCAAGTCTAGTTCAGCTGAGGATGCCACATTCTTTCATTCCCAATGCCACTGCTTTCTGGAACATCAAGTTTGTGCTGGATTCTCATTCCGAGGACCCTCTGTTCTGGGTCCAACCCTATGCCTAGGAGTCTAAAAGGCCCTTCAGCCATTGTCCATCTGTGTCCATCTGTGTCCCACCCCATGTGGTCCTCTGCCAGTCCTGGGGAACAGGAACCCTTGTGAGGCTGGCAGCCCCCTGAGGTTCCTAATTTGTCACTAAATGTGAAGCACTGCCGGAGAGCAAGAAGGAAAGTATCAGCAACTTGCAGGACCCACCAACCTAAGGAGGAGTGGGTAGGAGGAATGGATCTATTTTGGAAGAAATCCTTCTCCCTTCATTTCCTGTAGACAAATCTCCAATGTGCTTAGGCTTATGGAAACCTACTTTTACTCTATCACACACCTCCCCTAAAGAGAAGGGAGTCAATAACTGAAGAAAACACTAATTTTGCAATAAGTTTTCCTTTCACACAATCAACAGCACCTCAGAATCAGAGTGCTCTCTGAGAGTTTTTAGGATAAATTTATTTTCTCTCAAAGATCCAACGTAACTAGGATGCAAAGGATCTTTCACATTATTATTCAAAAAACTTAGCTCTTTCAAATCTCAGCTCAAGCATTTCCTTTTCCAGTTGTGATATCTGGCTTTTTATTTGCAAACTAAATGATTTCTTTGGGTAGTTTTTCCAAAACAAAGAGTTTTCCCCAAAGGTCTATCTAAGTCTTCATGGTCCTCAGAATAGAAAACTGTTCTCAGCTTTGAAATAGCAGCTTAATTTTTATTTCTATCACTCTGTCCAGGTTTCAGAGACGTTGAGGTCCAGTTTCAGTCAATAACCCCAGCAATCACTGTAATGCAGTGACTCCTTTCTTACCCACAGAAGCTTCTGGCAGGAAGAAAACTTAGATCCAAAGAATGGGATCCCTGTCTTTCTTCTGAAATCGTTTGAATCAGATTAGCTTGCTATACTCAGTAGTGTAAATTAAAACTAACACGCAGAAAACCAAATAAGAAAGCAACAAAGTATCTCAGCCATTGAACAAGAAGCATATACAAAATAATTCTAGGAAATTACAGTTCTCACAATATTTCAGCATGGGGCCTTCTCTGTTATTTAGAAGCAAGGATATATTTATTTGCTATTAGGATCAGAAAGAATAAAATGTAAAGCCAAATGGCCACTGGGGAAGGGGGGAAGGCCTCAGTGAAATCTGATGCCAATTTATGTGAAGGATGGAGCCAAATGGACTAGAAAAAAAAAATGTATTTACTAGCATTTCCCCACAGTCCAAGTTACTTAGGAGCTTAGCCAAGGCATATGTTTAGTATTCTACTATATCTTCTGAATAAAGTTGGGTCTTACGAGATACGATGTGGCCCTGATCTTGCTCAGACGGAGCAAACTCCCAACCAAAATTCTCTTCCTAATAAATGTTTATCTCTGCATTTCCAGCAGAAGGGGCTTCTGAATTCAGTTTTGTGCCTTAAATCAAAATACCCAGCCAACAACTCCTAACCGTAGTTGAGGATCAGGAGATGCTTCCTGCCTATAAGCTAGATTCCCCTTCAGTGGGCTGCAGAGGGGCCAATGTCTACGGTCTTCTGGGGGATTCTCCAGCACCAGCGCACCTTAAGCTTCTGATAGTTTTCTCCAGACACCAGTCCTAGCCCTACGGGAGAGGGCCTGGCAGGTTTGAGTGAAAGCTGTTTCACCGCAGGTAAGCCAGCCTCCTCACCCACAGGGCTGATGTCCAGCTGGACACCTGGGGCTACTGCCTCCTAGTTACACATTAACCACGTTCCCAGATTGATCGTAAACGTAGTCTTTATGGAGGGAAGGCTTTTCCTGCCTGAGAGCTGCTCAGGACGACGACGAAGTCTTTACTGAGGAGGGCCAATCGGGCAGGACCACCTCTATCCAAGAGCTAGACCCCGCTGTCCCCAACACTCGGTCACCCCAAGCCTATGGAGGGCAGGCCCCTCCCCATCCCTGCAACCCGACCTTAGCCAGCCGCACCCCTCCGTCCGCGCCCCGCCCTCCCCGTGCGCCGAGTCCCTCCCCCGCCTCCCCGCGCCGGGCGCCCCCAGCCCCCGGCCGGGCCTCCCTGCGCTTAGCACCCGCCGCGGGCTGCCTGCGCACGCGCGACCACGGCGGGGGCCGGGCCTCGCGCCCCCTTTCCTCCTCCTCCTCCTCCTCCCCGTCCTCGTCCGGGCCCGGCGGGGGGCGGAGGCCTTGCGCCTGCGCGGAGCCGGCAGTCCGGCAGGGCCGCAGCCGCGGGGTGGCCGGCGGTTGCCGTGGGCACCGCGGCCCCTCCCTCCTCCGGTCCCCGGCCCCACGCCGTTCCCACCGAGACGCGGAGGACGACCCCGACCCTCCCCTCCCGCCGGCCCGGCCCGAACTGCAGCCGGTGACCGGGCGAGAGGCGGTGCCGCTCCCAAGATGTCGCAGACGGCCATGTCCGAAACCTATGGTACGAGGCCGGCCGGGGCGAGGCGGCCGGCGGCGCGCGGGTGCCGCGGGGGCCGCGGGGGCCGGGGGGGCGCGGGGGCCGCGGGGGCCGGGCTGTGTGTAGTATTTACGTGACCTGCTTTTTCAAGTTTCCTCCGCGCTCGCATCCTTGGGGTTTTCCCTTTCTTAGTCCAATTTCAATAGCCCAGGGTTTGGGAAGCCAGTTTAAGACTTTTCTCTGCGATGTTGTCCCCAGCGAGGGATGTGAAGGACTTAGGGAGACGCCTGCATTTCAGTGTGTTCCTCGAATATTCCAGCTTAACCTTTCCTGGTTTGGAATTCCTTTCTTTGCCCTGGGATTGCAATGAGAAGTAATCGATAGACTAATCCATGCCTTCCTTCGGAGACCTCTCGCCTCATTTATTTCTCTGTTTCTCAGTCTCTCGGGCTTTTAGTCCTTTTTGGGACTAAATGTGCCTTTTTAAAACCATAAACACCCTGGAAGCAGAGCCCTATCTGTTTAATCTTTGCTTCCCCTAAAACAGCCACCCCTGGAGGGGTCTCCACAAATAAATTTTGAGTAATCGAAAGCCTTCCCAATTCATTTACTGTATTTTTGTTTTGTTTTGTTTTGTTTTAGCCCTGCGTGATAAAAATAAATAATATCTTACACGTCTCCTTTGCATCAGGCTTGAGGAGATGTTTACCAGTCTCTAATCACTTGTTCAGATGTGTGCATTCTCAGATCAAGACTTTGGGAGTTTTACAATCCCAGGGAGAGGTTCAAGTTTAAAAGTATGTACCTGAACTCAGATCACTTGTGCTGGCCTGCTTGCTACTCGGTCAACAAATAGGCGTGGAATGGCATGATGGAGCCGGCAGGGTACTAGGAGGCGCTGTCCACACTGCAGGCAACACAACAGGCGTGTTTCTGGTCTCGGAGCATGCAGTCTAGTGGGGGATACAGAGTTAATGCCGTCACGACACTAACGAATGAGTAGCTTAAAACTCCGGGCAGGAGTCCTGAAGGAGTGTGCTCTAGGAAAGGATGTTAAGGAAACCTGACCAGACTGGGGAGCCGAGGAGGTAGTAACCAGTCAGCATGGAGGAACAGCGGATGCCCAGGGCCAGACAGCGTCGGAGAGAAATGGAGCTCCAAAATGGGAGCCTAAACAGTGGGACAAGGGTGAGGGGGAGGCAGAGAGGGCCTTTGGAAGGTTTCCACCTTTCTTCTAAGAGGGGTGAGGTCACAGTGCATTGGCTTCACCTTCAGCCCCTCCTGTGACTTGTGCTTGCCCTGTTCTTGGTGCCACTTGGGGCCTTACATCTATTCCTAGAAGGCTTAGGAAATCCTCCAGGAAGTCGATAGCGTTTTTTGTGTTGTCAGGGCTGCACATGGTCCTGTGCATCCATGTGATCTGGTTCTCCCTATAGAGAACCACAGTCAGAGATTTTGTAAAGAAAATATATTTTCTAGCAATTTTTGGCTGCACTTTATTTTCAAGCTCCTTACCCCACACTTTTTTTTTCTTTAACCTGGATAAGGAGCATTAGGGAGGGGTGGAAAGTCTAAATAAGAAAACCAAGTGGGGATTATGAATTAGTAAGAAAGGACTGAAAGAGTTTGGGAGATAAAGCTTTTTTCATTTGTCTTATATGAAATAACCTTGACAAAACAGCACATATCTCTACTTCACTTTAGACATAGTTAATTGAACTTTTGAGCACCACAGATTAACTGATTCAGTAATGATCAGAAGGCTTTAGCCAACAGTATTCTTATGTCATGATACTTCCCAAATATGTTTTTACTTTTTTACTTGCAATTTCATCTTTTCCTCTAATAGAGGTAATTAGAGGAAACTAATGGAATAGAAAATTAGTTTTAGAAACAGCAAATATGGCAGTTGAAATTGCGAACCTAAAATAAGAATCAACCAAAAGTCCTAAGCTGTCACCTTCGTTTATCATTGACCATATTTGCACAGCACTGTTCCCCCCAAAAGTAAAACAATCATTTGCCTCTTAGATAGCTGACAAAGGAATGTGTGCCTAACCTTTAAATTCCTTTGTGCTCGACGGTCATTTTCTCTTCCAGAAAAGGAGGCTCTGTAGCTCGACAGGGATAGGATGAAAAATAAAGAGCCAGTGCTTACAGTGTACCATTAATGAGCTATATCTACCTGTTTTTTAGCATATTAAGGCAATATTTCACCTCCCATAGACTGAGTAGTAGTCAACATTTTGCTGCCTTGAAACTGTATAACCACATACTATATATAATATTGAATACTGTATATAATATTGTAATACAAAATTGAAATCTTAGATAGGTTTCAGATTGAAACGCTGGATCTGAATATCTCTGAACTGAAACAGTGTTTCCCAAATATTGTCAGATTCACAGCATTCTTAAAGCCTTGGCCAATTAGTATGGCTTAGAACTTCCTGAGGAACTCCAGCCATCTAAGACTTCGGAGGTCAGAAATTGGCCCTAAGTAATTCCTGACATCAAGACTTGTGAGACAGAATTAACAAATTGAGTGGGTAGTACCAAGCAATGATGATCAGAAAGGAGCTAAAAAATACAAGTGGTGCCAAAAGTGCTAGGAAAAATAAAAAAAAGTAAGGACTAAAGCAGTCTACCACCAGGGAAAAATCTAAGATAAATCTCTGCACTTTGGAGTTTATGCTTTCTATAGTGAACACAGTTTGTAAAACAGGAACACAAATGATGAGTCTTGTGCTGATTTTTATTACAAAATAGTTTTAATGTTTTTATTTTGTGCTTTATTTTGAAAGCATAGTATTACAGTATTTACCACATAATTTGGAGAATTATCAAGAGATTTTCTTTTAAAAATATATCATTATTGACTGTTGTGGGTTGAATTGTATCCCCCAAAAGATATGTTCAGGTCCTAACCCCAGGTACCTGTGAATGTGACCTTATTTGGAAATAGGCATAAAATAATCAGGTTAAGGTGAGGTCCTGTTGGATTAGGGTAGGCCCTAATCCAATGACCGGTATTCTTGTAAGATGAGAGAAATTTGGGCATAGACAAATGCAGAGAGAATGGGATATAAAGATGCAGGCTGAGATCAGAGTGATAACATCTACAAGCCAAGGATCACCAAGGATGGCTGGCCACCACCAGAAGCTAGGAAGAGGCAAGGAAGGATCCTTTCCTAGAGCCTTCTGGGAAAGCATGGCCCTCCAGACACCTGATTTCAGACTTCCAGCCTCTAGAACTGTTAGACAATAAATTTCTCTAGTTTTAAGCCATCCAGTCTGTGGTATTTTGTTATGGCGGCCCTAAGAAACTAATACATAGGCTTTGGTCGTTAGAGTATGACTCATGGAGGAATTGGGGCTTAATAGGTGAGGTAGAGTAAGGAGGATATTTTAGGCAAAGGAAATAACATCGCTCAAGTGATGTGGTACCAAGAAAGTGTAAAATAACTTACTATTAGAGAAATCACCAAGATAGCCATTACCTTAATTTCATAAAAGATAGGGCATGTAAACAAGGTCCACAAAGGAAGCATATAACATCGGGATAAAGGACATTTCTCTAAATTGAATGCATTTATTATGTTTAATGTTTGTATTTTTCTTTTTCTCATTTGCTGAAAATGGGTGAACATTTTAAGAACCAGAGTTTGGGGAACACTACACCAGTGGGTCTCAAACTAATAGGCCCCTGAGTCCTCTGGTGTGTGAACACGCAGGTTCTGATTCAGTAGATGTGTGGTGGATGGAGGTTCCACACCTGATCAGCTCCCAGGTCAGGCAGGTGCTGTTGGTCCAGGGCATAGACCTTTGAAAATATTGTTCTTTAGAGAAGCAAAAGTTTGTGATAATTTTTCACAGTCATTCAAACTATAAAGCATATCAGTCCTTGCCTGTGAATGTCTTGCTCCTAAACCTTTATTTCCAGTCCTATCATTCACTCAGGCCTAATATCTTATATTCAGCTCCCTACCTAACTATTCCATTTGGATTGCCTGCGGTATCCTAACACAATGCGTCCCAAACCCAACTAATTACCCACACCTACTCCGCAACCTTCTATTTGTCCCATGTACCCATTTGCCTAAAAGAAAGTTAAAACCCATTTTTACTTCTTCATCATCCTATTTCCTGGATCCAGTTGGTTTCTGTCTTTTAAACTGACCCCTTAACATAGTTCAAGTTACTGTTTACCCTAGAAGAGGCAAGAGAAGGTGAAGTTGGGGCCAGTTTAGTGGATTATAAGGAAGAAGACCCAGCATCCCAAGGTTCTTCACCACAGGGACTTGAGCAGTTGTGCTGGATTTTGCCTCTTCCGGCTGGTAGCCATGCCGCTGCTGATGAACTGCATCTCTAGCTCATGTGCAGCAACAGAAGCGAACTCCCCGGGCAGGGATGAGCTCGGTGGTTTCTGGCAGGGGTACGTCGGAAGGGGTTTAGATATAATTTCGTTGGGGACCCAGACTATTGGTAACATATGCCACGGCTTCGTAGGAATATCATAATGACTTAAGTAAATGGTATTTCCAGAGCTTTTTGTGCTCCTTGAAAAATGATTCCGTGTAAGCATAAATGTGAACTTTACTTCTAACAATAATAATGGTAATATCTCTTCGGTTAAGGACCATGTCACCCACATTTTGTGAAAAGTATCTTGCACTTTGGGCCCTTTGTATGGAATTATCCATAACAGGATTCTTTGGCAAGGGTCAGTACTATACTGGTCACTTTTATCATATATAACCAGGCTAGTGTGTTTATGTTCTTTGCTCTGAATATTTCTTTGGAATGAGAAGAGAGCTGATATTTCTTGAATTTCTTCTTATAAATTGATTAGACTGTTGGAGTGGATTTTTTTCCCCATTTCTGAGAACTCCATTAGGACGCATGCCAGTGGAAATAGTTTGAGGGAAAACCTTTGAATCCTCTGTGTTCTGTGATGCATGTCTCTGTCCCTGCTTTCTGTCAGTATGATCTTGATAATGGACTAAGTTCTGTATGTATGAAGA